CTCCCTCTTTCCTTCCTTCCTTCCTTCCTTCCTTCCTTTCTTTCTTGTCTCAATATGACCATTGGGGAGCACAAACGTAGTGGGCAAAAAGTGTGAGATCTTGATGAAATTAAAAATGTAGCCTTTTCCTGTACATTTTTTAATTATTTGTTTTGGTGTTATAGAGTATGCTGCCAAACCAACTGGTGAAATCTATGTGAAAACGCTTGAAGAAATTCTCTTGGAGAAAGCTAGCCAGAAAAAGGGAGAAATACATCCCAAACCCAAAGTTGAAATGGCTTATATGACAAATGATCCTAATCCAGTGGCAAAACCTCCTACAGTCCGGATCAAAACCTTTTCTGAAGTCTTGGCTGAGAAAAAACAGAGGCAAATGGAAGAGGAGCGAATAAAAATTGAGAAAGACGGCTTTGCCAAATCAAAGCATGAGTGTGAAACTCAAAAAGAAGGGTTTCTGGGTATAGCTGTATCTAGAAGAAGAAGATTGGAAGAGCCTTCTGGCAAAGCCAAAGACTTTGGGGAAGTGCGCATCAAAACTCTGGAGGAAATCAAGCAGGAGAAAGCTCTCCGCATGCAGCAAGGTGTGGACAGCACGTCAAAGACACAGATGCAATCTGAACGAACTATAACTGGGAGGAGAATGTTGTACGTTACAAAACTGACAGGTATCATACAAGCCTTGTTAATATCTTTTATTTTCTAAAGGCTGCATTCAGAATGTATCCCACCAGTTTCATTTTGTAGCTACAGGTAGTCCTCGCCTTATGACCATTTGTTCAACAACCGTTTGAAGTTACAGTGGTGCTGAATGAAGGGACTTATGACCAGTGCTTGAAGTTACGGCCATTGCAGTGCCCTTGCAGTCACATGATCAAAATTTGGGCACTTGGCAGCCCATTTCAATTCCCCCCACTCATCTATCTCCCCCTGCATCTATGCCCTTTTGGCCCCTTGCCCTCACCTTTGTCATCTTGCTCCTGCTGCTGACCAAGCATGCCTGCCCTGGCCCTTTGCAAGGTAGCTGCTGGCCACACAAGGCTTTCTTCCCAAGGTCACTCACGGCAGTTTCCTTGCAAGACCTGGGGAAGATGGCGAAGGTCAGCTGGGGCAGTGGAGTGTAGGGCAGCAGCGGGCTCAGAGTGCAGGGTGGAGAGGGTGACTGCGGCTGGCACTGGACTGGGCTGGCTGGGGCTTCCCAGGGTATAGCAGCTTTGTGCTGCACTGTTGGGGCTTCCTGAGGTGCGGTGGCTTTGTGCCATAGTGCTGGGCCAGGCTGGGGGTGGGCTTTGTGTGGCACAAAGGGGCTTCCTGGTGTATTGCGTCTGTAGGGCTGCAAAAGGCTTGGAGTCCCAGAGCTGCAGTGCACTAAGAAGCCCCTGAGCTGCAGTGTAGTCTTTCCCTGGCCTTCCTCAGCTCATACCACACCGCAGCACCTCCATGCTCCAACTCATGCGCGGCCTGTGCTGGCCCTCCCAGGCCTCTTCTGCCCCCCCCATGGGACCCCCGTGCTCCTTACCTGGCACTCCTGCCTCTTCCTACTTAATGACCTGTACATCTTGGAGTTACGATGGCAACTGGGACTGCCAGGAGTGCGGTCACTAAGTAATGCGGTCATGGGATGTCTCACGATTACATCGCTTAGTGACAGAAATTCTGGTCCCAGTTGTGGTCGTAAGTCAAGGACTGCCTGTATTATATAATAGGACAGATAGATGCTCTTGGTTCTTGGCTCGGATCATAAAATAGAGCAATGCCAGAAGTTTATATATTATATTCTAGGTGTATTAGTAATGCCAAAAATAAAGAGGGAGGAAACTAACTCTTCCTGTTTCTCAGATCTCTCTCTGTATTTCAGAATTGAGAAGCAAAATAGATTTAACAAGAGAATTCCAAGCCCCAACCCCTTCCATCTCATTTTGGAATTCCTTGCTTATTTTTTTTAATAGCAAACCAAATATTTCTAGAATAATCTACATTAGTTCTGCTGGAAGTAAAGGTATAGTGAATAATGAAGTACTTAGCATATTGGTCAATCGTTATGGCATTCATTTACTAATCACA